ACAGCAACAACCCACCAATATAACTAGTACCCACATCTTGGTTTTTAAATATCATTATTATGAAAAGAATCTGAAATCCTTGGAGAAATGACTGTCTTACTCAGGGCTTGATCAAGGAAAGTAAAAGAGAGCTTAAATTATTTTGTTATAGGGAAGTATTCAAAAATTTAAAAGTACATATAAACAAAGTTTGGAAGCTAAGTAAATGAGTTTCTGGCTTAACCATATTTGAATAATTTGTATATCAACATAAATATGCTGAAACTAGTGGATGAAAGTTTCATGAGAAAAAGGATATTTACATAGTCTTAAAATATCTCTTAACAAATTACATATTATTACATGAAGAAAATAGTAGTTTTGTAGTGTAGAAGGATCTGTAAGAGATCACCTTAACCAAATGGTCAGTTTACCATCACCAGTGGAAAAACCAACATTATATGGCTCTTGATAATATGGACTAACAGGGATCTAAGATCACTTCTATTTTATTCTTGCAAATAGTCAAAACCTAATACTAGCCTTGAAAAAAATCTTATGAGCTCAAATAACATGTCCTCTTCAAAAATTTCAAAACAATAAGGTAAAAGATAGGCTGAGAAACTATTCTAGATTAGAAACTAATCTACACTAATAAAAGAGAAATGTGCAAATTAACTATCACTCCATCACTCCGCCACTCCGCTACACCCATCAGCCAATCAGAGAGACTGTACAAATTAACCCAAAAAAGATAGCAGTTAATTTTCATACGCAGGCATGGAGCAAAGACTGAAGACGACTGAAGTTGGAGGTGGCCACAGAGCTGGAGCAAGCAGGAGGCTTGGGATGCTCCTGGCGATGGCGGAAGCCAAGCTTCCCACCAGCCCTGGACTCCACTTCCAGCCAATCCTGGCCTCCTCTCGAGGAGCTGGGGGGAAAAAAGGGGGGGGCTGGGAGAAGCTGGAGTAGAGGAGCCAAGCCTCACTGCTGCAGCTGGACCAAAGACCTGGGTCACGGGAGCCAGAGGAAAACCGGTGCCTGCAGCCAGGGGAAGGAAGGCCTATTGCACAAATCTTCATGCAATGGGCCACTAGTACAAAATAATATTGAATGTAAAGAAATGAAAATAGGAGTGAAATTTTTATATATGTCAAAGTTTATATAAAGCTGTGAAGGAAGGAAGTGGGAGAATAAAAATAGAGTTTTTCATTTTACCACTTTATTGTCTTTTCAGTACATGAAAAAGACAGTTGTCTTTATATGGTGCTTTTATACTTTTCTAAGTCATTATCTCATTTGATGTTCAGGGCAACTTAAAGAAAAGATAATTATTCCCTCCACCATTCAAAGAAAGGAAATCTTGGTGTCTGGCCCCAATGATTCAATCGTCAAGTCCTTATTGTAAAGTAG